ATTGATCCAGGTTCTCTGCTCGTCTCTGAAGCTCTGTTTGCATATATAGCTCAAGTGTAGCATTGTGTATTGTTCAGTATTTACGCCAATGGCTTCTGTTTATGGTTTACCTAAAGCAACTTATCTATTCTGTGGTCAGTTTACTATTGAACTTACTGTTTACTTTTTTGCAGGCTGCTACTAAAAGTTGCTTCAATGCTGGCTTTGCTTCTCAAAGGAACTTTGCTGAGGTCTACTGCATTTCTTATATGGGATTTCCGATAAGTTTGTCAAGTCTTGATTACTTATCAACAGCATCTTTTGTAGGTAATTGCCAAGGGTGAAGCTCAAGGAATGGTGAGTAAGTCAGTGGGTATCCTGCTCGGAATAGTGGTTGCCAATTGCATAGGAACCTCTACAAGTCTTGCCCTTGCTTCGTTTGGAGTTGTGACATCGATTCATATGTATACCAATTTCAAATCTTACCAATGCATCCAGCTCCGGACTCTAAATCCATATCGTGCAAGTAAATCCCTCTCCTGCCGCCACCCATTTCATTTGATATTCATCAAATTCTTTTGACAATAGGAAAGTAACATCTCTCTGTTTACAATACAGGTTTGGTTTTTAGTGAATATCTCATCAGCGGTCAACCTCCTCCAATCAAGGAGGTCAACGACGAAGAACCAGTCTTCCCAGCTGTTCGGTGTTTAAACATAAAATCTCCAGAAAAGGTGACAATATCATTCTCCTTATTAAACCCTCTGAGATCTCTTATTAACCAGCTTAAAATCCAAACTTTCTTGGATCAAGAAACTATGCTCAATAGCCTGATTCTTATTATATCCTGTATTCAGCGGCAACATTTTGTCTTATCATCAGAAGCAAAAGCAGCAGCCGAAGACATAGAGGAAAGGCTTCAACTAGGGTCAAAGCTCAGCGATGTTATCCACAACAAGGAAGAAGCAGTAGCACTTTTTGATCTGTATCGTAATGAAGGATACATCCTTACAGAACACAGAGGCAGATTCTGCGTAAGCATTAATTATTTTCCTCCTTATTTATCTCGTGGAATCTCTCACCATTTATCTCCTCTTGTAATTGTCAGGTGATGCTCAAGGAAAGCTCGTCGCCCCAAGACATGCTCAGGTCGTTGTTTCAAGTGAACTATCTCTACTGGCTAGAGAAGAATGCTGGGATCGAAGCTACAAGCACTTACTCAGACTGCAAACCGGGTGGTCGCCTTCACATTTCTTTAGATTATGTGCGACGAGAGTTTGAACACGCCAAAGAAGACAGCGAATTAGTGGGTTGGGTCACTGAAGGACTGATAGCTAGACCTCTACCAAATAGAATCCGTCTAGGTTATGAATTTGAACCCTCATCCTCTCCTTCCAGCTCATAAACGCAGAGCAAAACCCGGGCTAATGGATGATGTATTAGATTTGATTTTCTATTCGGTATAGAATAGATACATTGTCTCTGTTTATCTGCCATTGAAATGCTGTAAGCTTTTTGGAGATTTACATGTCTGTCAAATTCAGATCTAAATTGAAAATTAGATACTATCCATGTATATTGGATTCGGTTTTCACTTTCTTGATTGTGAATATAATCCAACAAAATCAAAATGCGTTTGTGAATATGTAGACATTATTTCATTATACATGTGAGATTCAATTCTTCTTAATTCATTTACGACCTACAAATGACCCCACAAAATTGGGAATATGATTGATACATCAATTTTTTTACACAATCTCCTTATTTATCAGATCAAGACTAGACTTCTACAGTGATCTTTTACAGGTTAACCACAGTTACAGTACGGATAAAACTCCCCAATGCAAAAGAAAAATAATGGCGAGTTAGACTTGAGAGATGGGAGATTTTTGACTCTACTGAACAAAAGGGTACCCAGCAACGTAAAATTCTCTTACACGTGAAGCCCCATCTCGAGCAAGTATGCCTTCGAGATCTCCAATGATCCTAGCCAGCCAAATCTCCAAGTTTCTCTGAACTTCTTTCAAGTTGTTCTTGATCAAATCCGTTGACCTTCTTGTGTTCATCTTGGCATGGTTTAGTTGATCTCCTTGATTGCTCCTTGTGATTTCCGTCTGCAATGCAGCTAGCTTCTGTCCTGTCTCTGAAGCTCGCTGCTGAAGTCTGATACACTCGAGCAGAAACTCGGTTTGTCTTTGCGTCCTGAACTCGGGTCCTAGAGTCGCATCGCATGGATCACTACTCTGCTGGAAAAAACAAAACATATAGAAAAGAGTAAAGCCTTTTTTAGCTCTTGAGTAACTCAAGCATGTGTGTATAGAGTGTTAGGGAGTAACCATTCTTCTGCATAGATCATCGATCTTCCCCGAAAGAGCTTGATACCTCTTTGCCTGTTTTCTCAGCAAAGCCGGAACCTTTGAAATGTCACTACGACAAACTTTCTCAAGATTTAGTAATTCCTCTTCTAGTAACCTCAATTTTGCAGATACACCAGTTGCTTCACTGTCTATCTTCCATGGTGATTCCCTTCTGTGGAATGAAGATATGTTACAATAATCATTCATTTCAAAAATCTCAATCAAAACCAAATTCAAAATCTCAACTTTACCTTGGCACAAAATGCTTCATACGGTACACAGATTCCATAGATTCGTACTGTACATCCTGCAAAAATAGAAGCAAAAAACCCTAAATCAAGACACCAAT